AAAGTATGTGTTTGTATTTTTCTCATAGTTTCTGAACGAAAGAATGTGTAGACTGTAGGAACATCTCAGAATCTTTAGCACACTTTTCTCTTTAATCTGTGATATTCTAGATCTCTAGACGTCTCGTTACTCAAACATTATAAGAAAAACAAAATGCAAAAAAATCGTTACGGAATTTCACTCCGGTAGCAGAGATGGCTGGCCAGAGCAGTGTTTGTAATCGATTATCATGAATAATACCACCACAACATATTCTTTAAACACAAATAATTTACCAGAGGATGTATTATCATATACTGACGACAAATTTTATAATTTTATAAGAGAAGTACTGGGTCAATCAGCAGCTGATCTTTTGAATATACAAACTACAAATAACGTTCCATCTTTTTTATTAAGTGATGATGTTTGTGATATTACAGAACATGCTGTTGAGCCAGAAGAAATAGATGTTTTACGAGAAAAAATTTCATTTGCATTTCGATATGGCACATATCACGTTAAAATAGGCATTAGAAACAACTTTAGATATTTAAATAAATTGTTATCGGCGAAATTAGAGGAAGAAAATAATAAAAAAAACGAAATCCAGAAAAAACAACAACAAAAATCCATTCAACTTCATCGTCATTAACAACAGAAACTAATTCGGCATTATCACAATTAACAACAGAACTTAATTCAACATCACCACCATTACAAACAACAAGTAATTCAAGATCACCACCATTAACAACAAAATATTGAATTTATATTAAATTTAATGAAGAAATGGACAGAAAATAGTAAAAAAAATTTACATCTTGATCAATTAGAATTAAAGCCAGATGTTGATTACACAATAAGTATAACAGATAATAATAATATTTTTGGAGGTGCCATGAAATGCAAATGTGGTATTCGTATAAGATTAAGAAAAAGAGATGGTAGATTTCAAATTACCAATTTTTATAAACATTTAAGATCTGCAACATGTTCCATGATGAGAGAGAAAAAAAAGCAACATAATCAACAAAAACGATTACCGAATAATACCAGTGGTAATTATAATAGTAATAATACTGACGACAATCAATCAACAGCATCTTCATCAATAACATCACAAAAACCACTAACAGATATGACATCAAATGCACCAATATCCCAATCACAACGAACAAATATATTATCATCGTCAACGGCAAGCGGTACTAAACGCAATTCATCGAGTTTAAAAACAACAAATTCACAACAGTCATCAGCAAAAAAACATAAAAGATAACATCTTTTTGTCTGTTTTTTATTGATATCTCTATCTGTTTCTCTTCTCTATATATATTCAATGTATACTGCGGCAGTATACATTGACCCCAATAACCCAATAACAACGAAACATATTCAAATTTTCGATTGAAAAAATGACCTGTCAGACAAATAAAATATGTTCTTCTTGAGTTTTTCCAAATATCTGTTGTTAGCGCTATGTCAGCAACGGGCGATAA